CAGACACACAGACACACAGACATACAATACATACATACATACTTACTTACATACATACATACAGCACATATATCTGTCGACAAAATACAAAAGGCAGGGGAGCTTTCCGAATGGAGCGGTTGTAGCCCAGCTTCGGGGCTGAACTTGGAAACTTCCGCGATCGCAACGTGAGTTCGAGAGGGTTTGCAAGCAAGTTTGTTTGGGATGTATGGTTTCGAGGTCGGGTTCAGCGCTCAGGGCCTCGGGTTTAGCAATGCAGGTTCCCGAATTCCCGCTAGATTGTCGGATGTGGCCTTGAGGTTCAGCGGCGTTTGGCGCTTCAAGTTCCTAGTTCCAGAGTCAAGTTTCACGTTTCATTGTTCAACATCAACATCCGGTGATCAGGCCCGTCCAGGACTTAGGGTTTGGGGTGGTTATCTGGCACTGTGCAGCCGTGGTACTTTGACAGAACTCCTGGCGGCAGCATGGAGACGCCTAGCACGAGCAGTTGCAACACCTATGATTCTATGATGGTGTTATCCGAACGAAAACTGTAACCGCCAACCGAGTCGCAGCAGCCAAATTCACAAGTTGTGTGGACAGGGTGGGCTCCCCAAGTCTGCAACTGACCGGCACAACACTACATCCTTGGACAACCTTCATTCCCATCTAGAAGGGAAGCGAATTTGGAATTCTTCCGTCGAACATAGCCCCTCGCGCAATAGCAGCATCAGTCATCTTAGCATGGCGCGTGTCCGCGAGCAGAGGGATGTGATGGTTCAAAGGTTCCTCCTCGCAGACCACTGCAGGGTGAAAGGTAACTGCGCTGTAGGGCTTGGGCGTAGTCTGGTTTGTAGTAGAGCTGGATATGCACACTGCGAGATTCTTGCGACGGCCGGGTCGGTGTCCCGCATGCCGCCTTTGCAATATTACAATCGAGACGAAGCCGCCAACAAGACAGAATCCGAAAGCCTTATACACGTATAGAACTCCGATAGGCCTGCTTGCCGCATCTTTCTTCTTCAGCCACATGCAGTCCGGAAGGGCCCTATTTTAGCCACCGCCTGACTCTTTCAACATGAGTTGGGGCCTCAATGTTTACGCATTCCTGGGTTGGCATCATGCTTGAAGTTCTGGCTCTTATCGCTTGCGAAATGGGACGAAGTAGTGTCGGTCTAGACGGTCAGCATCAAGCACCACAACTTTTTGCAAGGATGAGATATGTAAGTTACCCACCTGAGCAATCAGACGTCATCACATGGCCAGCATGACCCGTTTCAGTTAATCCAACACACTAAGTTTGCAATTTCAGTTCATGACCCGTTCCGCAGTCCCAGGCTGTTTGTTTGGCCATGTGCTAGTCTCGAAAAGCACCATGCAGATGATTGATGTACTGTACTTCTGTTCGGATTGAATGGCGAGACTCGATAGAAGCCCTAAGTAGTGGCCTTTGACAACCTTCAAAGCTCAGTGGGAACTGTATCTGTCATACAAGTCCTCGGAACAACGGTACAACGTACAACACGCACGTGCCGAGGACCGTACTAGAGACTGCTGCCTTCGTGTTGAATCGCTGTTCGTTTTGGCAGATTTTGCGCCTGAGCCCTGAACCTAAAGCGTGGTACACCTCCAACAAGGTCTTCAAGAGCTGCTTCGCGAGCAGCAGTCCATCGCTGCAGAACAGTGCCAGGGCAGCAAGGGCTCTGTGTAGTGTTTTCCCAAGACTGCCCCTGTTGGTTTACACATGTGCAGAATACACAGTGTCGGCCTTCGTCTTCTCCCCGGAGTCGTACACAACGCGCGCGGGTACGCCCTCGACCCAACAACAGTTGTTTCAGAGCTTACTTGCCTTCTGGCAGCGTTTGCCAAAGTTTCGTGAACTGTGCCCATCTCGTGCATCTCGTCCTACCTCCATGTTTACTGCGATGGACGGCTTGATGTCAAGGTCGTAGTCGACCTCCTGGGCCGATCAGACACTAGGCCTCCGCCCATCGCAGCGGCGCAGCACGGAGGGCAGCAGACGAAGATCCAGCGAACCCTGAGCCTGAGGCGATTGACGAAGCGCTGGCTACCTCGAGGGCAGCCTCGTTAGAGCGCCGAAAACACCCAGCAGAGCCTCCACCTCAGCGTCCGTCCAACCTCCTGGGCTCAGATCGCCTGCGCTCTTGGAAATCACAGAGACAAACCTCCTGGTCGTTCTAACGGCCGCGGCGATGCATACTTTCGATTGGCAGGGAAAGTCTACCGTCTCGGCGATGAAGACATACCCACCTAGAATTGCAAAGAATCCGACAGCATGGAAAACGGTTGGGTGGCGGTATGCTTCCACCACGGTGATGTGATTGACCCGCATGTTTCCAAGAGAGGCTACCATAACTTCTACATCCAAGTGGTGCAATAACGAAGCATCAAGACATGCCCTGATTGACTGGGTTGGTAAACATCAGCCCTTGTCTGCCTCGTTGCAGCACGCTGGACGTGGCAGAACGAATCCCTACTAAAGCGGACATTGCGGACTCCCGTGGGCAGGAAACCGGAGTTTGCAACACGCTGGCATGAACTTCGTTGGATCATTGGTGATATCTTCTTTTCCTCGGCTGAGGGTTTCTCCGACTTGCTTGAATTTGCACGTATCCACGAAGTTCCATGTACTTCAGACCAGAATACTCCAGTGGCGTTCGCCTGCGATGGGTGGACGCGCAGGAAGCGGTCGCTCCTCTCAGAATCTCGAAAGCCTGTCTGTAAGAATGTGACATATCGATTCAGAGAAGTCGAACGGAATGCAGATTTCGCTACTGCTGTGGAAGCAGTTAAGAAGGTGCGTTCATTTATGAGATCTCTCCTAAGAACACCCTTTGTGTGTTTGTTCTTGTTGTTCTTGTGGTAGTGGTGGGGGAGGCAGCAGCAGCAGCCGCCGTCATCGTCGCAGTATTGGTGCCAGTTATTATGGGAGATAAAGAAGTCGCCGTCGGTGTCGTTAGTTGCAGTGCTTGCCCTTGTTACTGCTGCGGGCCGCGAGTGGAGTTGCAGTCGCACTGCCAGCAATAGCCGTCGTAGTAGCAGCAGTACGTCAGTTGCGGCAGCAGCAGCAGCAGCAGCAGCACCAGAAGAATCAGCATCAGGGGGGGGGTCTTTTTGTTTTGCCGTATTTTGTAGCTTTTGTGATGCGAAATGTTAGGACCGTGATGTTCATCACTGTTTCTGGTCGAGGTCTTGTTGCATGTTTAGAAAAGTGGGCAGCGCATGCAACCAGACCGCAATCAACATGATGTGTATCGTGACTAATGCTGTTTCTGTCGCTTGAACCATTGCTGCCATACCACCATCAGCATCGGCGTCATCATCATGGGTCGTAACCACACCATCATCTCATCCTCGTCAGCCTTGCGTCACTACAGCATCGTGAATACTATGGTCGTATTTGTGGCACTTGGGCGGTGTCGCAATCGCTCGTTTGTTTCAAGCTTGTTTCTTTTGCGGCGACCCTGCTGGCCATGACACATGGGTGGTAGTCAGGTGGTCTTATTCACCCTGGCGTTTTGCATTATCTTCGGTTTCGTCGCAGACCCAAGCCCGAAACCAGCCAATAAATCCCGCCCAACCCTCCGCCCTCCCCGATCCATAATTGCTAATGGGGTTAGGGCTGTTGGTGAGCTCTCCTGTCAGTATTGTTGCGCTGGTCTGGTATGTTGTTACTGGCATTCGGGTGGCCGCGAGGCGGAGCATGCGCACAGAGTTCAACCAGCTCCGGCGGCAGCTTGGCTGAAAAGCTGAAGAGCATCGACCTAACAACACCATCGGAGCATTTAGTACTTGTTCAGGGCTCTTGTGATTCGTTGTGGCCACGTGGGGACCGTATTCAGGTTTCTTTAAGATGATACGGGTTCAGCATCGACACTCGAGGTTTTGAGCCCGAGCAGAACTTTGGTTTTCAACCCCCTGAGACCGTACTTAAGGAAGATCGACGACTACATCAAGTCGGAGATGCAACGTCTCAGCTCCCGCCTTGATGCCAACGAAGCCCGCATCGCGAGACTGGCAGGGGCACCCGACAGCCAAGGACGCGAACCTCAATTCGGCATATGGCTTGAAGTGTTAAATTTATTTAGGGTTTCTTAAGACCTAGCCGGAGGACATGGGCCATGGTGCGCCAAGTTGGTGTCTAGTTCTGGGGCAGTCTTGACAAAGTTTTGGTCTGGCGCATATAATCGAATTAATTATGTTACTAAGAGAGTCCACCCGCCGACCCGAACCAACCTCGCCTGCATTGTCCGAGTTGCCGGTGTGGCGCAAAAGCAAACAAGGTCAACGGCGGCACAGGTCAGAATGCGCTTGTCCACGCGAAAAGTTTGAACCAGTTAAGCACCCTGAAGCCATGCCTGTTTTGCGCGAGTGTGTGAATCGAAAATGGTGAACCCTGAACTGTCTATAAACCGTGGTCGTAGATGTCGAAACCTGCGCACCAAACCCCAATCACAGCTCAGGCATGGACGAGGCAACGAAGAGCTTAGATGGTGCAGCTCGGTCCCTGTTCGAGACGGCTGTCGTGAAGCCAGCCGCCTCGAGAGCAGCGAGGACGGAGCTCTAGCCACTTAGGGCTTTAAGGTGTTAGTTTCAGCGTTTGGGCTTTCTAAACCCCAACCCTGCCTGCACACTGAAATATATGAGTGTAGTGTGGTTTGAAAAATGGCGCAGTGTAGATACAACGATAGCAACACTAGCAGCAGTACTAACCGCGGTAGCAGAGGTGGTGGTAGCGGTAGTGGTAATGCTAGCCGTGGTGGTAGTGGTGGTGGTGGTGGTGGTGGTGGTGAGTATTAGTGCTATTTAGTAGTACTAGAAAGTAGTATTATGTAGTATTTGTTTTGACATTAGTATTAGTATTCGTATTAGTATAGTGTATTATTGGTATTAGTTTTCCATCGCCGTAGTGGTCGTCGTCGTCGTAGTAGTAGTAGTAGTAGTAGTAGTAGCAGCAGTCGCAGTCGCAGTCGCAGCCGCAGCCGCAGCCGCAGCCGCAGCCGCAGCCGCAGCCGCAGCCGCAGCCGCAGCAGCAGCAGCAGTAGTAGTAGCAGTAGCAGCAGTAGCAGTCGCAGCAGTAGCGGCTCAGCAGCAGCTGCGAGGACAGAGAGGACTGCAAACAGCAACAGTGGGCCTGCTTCGAGGCCGCCTCCCCAGCTGCCAATCCAAGGCCAGTGGCCTGATTTAGCAAGCAGCTCTTTGTTTTGACTACATGTCGACAACCGTTGTAACTGCTGAGAGGATACTGTAAGTACAAGTGGTGGCAACAATCAGTTTTTTGTGGAAGCCATGTCGTAACATGCTCTGAGATTTGAGATATCGTTTTGTGAGGTAATTGTCTGTTTTTCTGCTAAAACTTTGGCTATGTTGCCGGCATCTTCTTTCCCAACTTCAGTGCAACAAAGAGCAGTAGCAATGCTCATCCACACCAAACACCTAGACCGGGCTACCGTAAACAGCGTAGGCTTAGCAGAAATCCGCTTTGACACCGTTGCAAACTTAGGAAGGCCTCATTCATGCAGGCGGCTTCAGACAGGCAGGCCAAGGAGAACACAGCTTGGAAGGCGAAGCTAGACACCATGGCATCCACAGAGGAGCCTTGGTTGCGACAGGCTCTGTAGGGTCACCACCAGGGCGTTATGGCAGGGTGAAGAAGATGCGAATTATGCCTTTTGTTGCAGGCACTTCTCGCACGCAGCCAAATAACCGCGTGTATGTTCGGCTTCATGTACCGGGTGCCAGAAGCGCTTGGGTGAGCATCCTCTACTGATGCGCCCTCCCCACCCATCGCCCCACGCGATCATGGTGAGGCATGGAGGCCAGGAGAGACAGCAGCAAGGGATACATACACATCTTCTAAGCCTGACATTACATATGCAGCAGTGGAGCGCAAAACCAGACGAAACCCGAAACATTTCCTGTCTGAGAATGCAGCCAGCAACCATCCAAGGAGAAGCTGAAGCATGCTTGCCAGCATGCTCCTTCCTCTGATGTTTGGGAGGAGCCTGGTGAGACCAAGGCGACAAGACAACATCCGGCGCGGGTTTGTTGCTGTTTGACGATTTCGGCTACGTTCCACACCTCCGAGCTGGTAATTCGGGCATGAGGTTTAAGTTATGGGCTTCATCCCAGCGAACGAAGAGAGTCAAGTAGAATCTCAGGGACGCCTGGAAGTCTCGTGTTCAGGATGCAGTTCTTTTTTACATTTTACTAGGCCGGTAGTTGACTTCTCAACTTCAAGTCCCTGGATTCAGGTGAGCAATACGGTGCTGGACCACGCAGAAGAGGCCCTTCGCCGCTGCTTTGAGAAGACAAGGGAGTTCCAAAGGTACGAGATCCTTGGATTTCGAGTCGAGCACAGCTTTATCTTCTTCGTTGCAGGGGAAGTTTAGCGACATGTACGTTCAGAAAGCTTGTAAGTGTTGGGTTGCTGGTCCATCCGGAACGATTTGGAACACATTCTTCGAGGCGCCGAGAGGAAGGAAGGCAAAGTGTGAGCGCGCGTCAAAGAGCACGCTCAAGAATCGGGAGGGCAGGCATTGGGCAGGGTAGGGCACGGCCAAGAAGACAACCGCCAGCGAGGTCGGAACATGGACGACGGTACTCGTGAGCTGAGGAATAACCCTCTCCTCGCCCTCAACAACCTGTTCAATCAACTGGATCGAAATCACAGCGGCAAGCTGGACCGTGGAGAGTTTGCAAATCTGTGCAGCGTGTTGGACTTCCACGCGAACAACGATCTCATGAGCGCCTTGTTCAGGCGCTACGACCTCGACCGCAGCAACTACATCAAGATGGACGAGTTCGGCCGAATGCTTTTCAAGGCTCCCAGCCAAGGAATTCGGGATTTTGACAAATCTCTCATGATCTTCCTATGTTTCTTAATTACTCTTGTCTTTCCCTGGCCCGTCTCATTTTCAGAGGTTTCTGGCGACAAGGAAGGTAAAGCTCTGAGCACCATCGCGAAGCTCCGTGCGGCCCTTGCACTTAGGGCCGGTGGCTTCGAGACACTGAAAGCCATGGGCAGCCAGTTCCGCATCATGGACCACAATCACTCGAACGAGCTCTCCAAGGAAGAGTTCAGTACTGCGCTGGATGTACTACTGGGCTGCTTCAACTTGCATTTCAGCGCCGCAGAAAAGCTGAACTTGTTTCAGCAGTTCGACCGGGACAGTTCCGGTTCGGTCGACTACGACGAGTTTGTTCGGGGCATCCGTGGCGACATGAACGAGGTTCGGCTAGAATGGGTCGACAAGGCCGGCAGCATGATTATAGAGAGATGCTCTAGGACTCAAGGTCAGGCTCCTGGGACATTTTGTTAGGGCTTGAAGAGCGGGTACAGGTTCAATGTTTCAGGGTCGCAGGTTTGGGTCAATGTCAAGACAGACTCAAATCTAAGCCGAACTCCCCCATGGCCCTCGCTGCGTGCACGCTGCAGTGCATTGTCGATTTTGGCACATTTCGCGAGTCTCGACATGTTGACGAGGCTTTCAGCATCCTGGACAAAGATGGTTCCGGTGTGGTCGAAACAAGTGAGATGTCCAAGACCTACGACGTGTCCCAGAATCCGGCAGTGAAGTCTGGAAAGGCCTGACTTAAAGTTATGACTGGCAGGGTGTATTGGCCCAGCACCCTAGCACTGTAAAGACCTTTTAGGCTTGAGGCTTGCGCCGCCACGAGGACCAAAAAGGCTCCGAGACCCCTTATGGTGATCTTCAACAGAGATGCTACATAGTCTTACAGCATTGCATGGGTCTGATTTCACTTGAGCTGCCGTTTCCTTGTGAGGTGACCCCGCAGCAAGCGATTACCCAGTCTCTTCAAATCTCATTAGCAACATTGTTTCGTGTCGTGTCAAGCAGAACACCATGAGTCTACGACGGTAGGAGTACACCGACCCAAAATCCAGCTTGTCGCTCTGATCCGAAGTCCGGACTTCGTAAGCACTCGAACCAGAACCATATCCAACGGCCCATAGCTGCTGGGAATGATGCTGTGCCAAAACCGCGTCCGATCAAAGGTTCATGCAGCACTTCGATGCGAACTCTGATGGCCGAATCACGAGGGAAGAGTTCCTGGAGACTTGGTTGATCTCTAAACGTTTTGAACTTGTCCTATTATGTAAGAAGCATTCAAGACGGTCTGGAATTACAGTCATGGGTTCGGGTGTTTTTTTGTGAGAGCTTCATTTCAAAAGAAGGAGAACTATCAGTGGGTCAGCGCATCCATTGACAGTGCCCTTGCCGAAAGCTCTTTCTGATTAAGGGCCGGGGTTCAGAGTATACGTGGTTGTCCGCCGTGTGCTCTGCCCCCCCACCCCCCCAACACCCTTTTCAGGGCTGCCCAAATGGCGGGATGCCATTCGGGGGGAGGGGGGCGGGGGGGGGGG